GCTCTCAGTGAGGAGCCTGCTTCTCCTCTGCCTGTGTCTCTGCCTCTCTCTGTGTGTCTCTCATGAATAAATAAATAAAACCTTAAAAAAAAAAAAAAAGAAGCCACCACTTCTTGAGTTTGGCATCAAAGAAAAATATATCCTCAATTATCTGAAAAGTCTATTAAAATATTCCTCACTCATCCTTCTTCCAACTACTTATCCATGTAAGACCAGATCTTCACACAACAAGATAACCCATTACAACAGATTGAATATAGAAGCAGATGTGAGAATCTAGTTGTCCTCTCTTAAGCCAGACATTGTATAGGGATTTGGAAAAAATGTAAAACAAGGCCACTCATGAAAAATTATTTTGTTTTGGAAAATATGGTTCTCTCTCTCTCTTTTTTTTTTAAAGATTTTATTTATTTATTCATGAGAAAGAGAGAGAGAGGTAGAGACACAGGCAGAGGGAGAAGCAGGCTCCATGCAGGGAGCCCGACATGGGATTTGATCCCGGGTCTCCAGGATCATGCCCTAGGTCGAAGGCGGCGCTAAACCACTGAGGCACCCAGGCTGCCTGAAAATATGGTTCTCTTAAAAAAAAATACACTATTCATGCGAACATGGTTTTTTTTTTTTTCGAACATGTTTTGAGTTGTTTATTTTAAAAATAAATAAGTATTTTAAGAGTTTCAGTTTCAAATACATAAACACCAATAGATATAACTTAAATAAACAAAAGCTCTTCTGAGATCTTCAATAATTTTTCATTAGTATTAAGTGGGTTGGTCCTAAGATCAAAAAATTTGAGAAATGTGTACTAATGAATGAGCTTGAGCTTTAACTTCACCCAATCAAAACGACTGGAGCTATATCACCATAAAGTACTGGTGGGGGGTATTAAATCTAATTTATTTGTGGAACCAAGACTATGCCCTGATAGTCCTAGGGCAAGAGCATCACACAGGTGGCTGGTTGCCCTGGCAACAAACATGCAGCATAACCATCCAAAGGGGGAAAGGGAACCAGCAGAGGGTGTGGCTAGTAGAATGAGCTAGTCAACTGCCTTGTCATAACTGAGAGTAAAAGTTTATTGTGCTTTCATCATATACTGGAGTATATGAGGAGGGGAAGAAGAGGTTACAAGCTAACTTAAGTATTACTGATACTTAATACTGATAGGGAACCAAGAGACAATAACCCAAAAGAGAGGACAAGGGATGGTATGGAAACATCTTTATACAAAGGAAATCACTGGAGCAAAAATATAAACCTTTCTAAATACCAAAAATTATACTAAAACAGAGAATAGAAGCCAACAAATCCCCAGCTGCTTATTTAAAATACACATACACCCCCCCCCCAAATAAACAATGGAACAATGACCACTTTTAGACGGTAATCTCTAGGGGAAGGAGGAGACTAGAGTAAAGGACAAAACAGAAGCTAAACCTCTTCAAATACAGTTTGTTTTATAGATCTGACTTTGTAAGAATGTACCCTTCTCTATAATTACAAGTTAAAATAGATTTTTAAAAACTAATCTTCCTAAATTAAAAACAAAGTGAAACAAATGTATCTAAGTGATGATTCTCAGCTGGTGGCATAAGGAAAGGGAAGAAGGAACTACTTCAGAGATTCTCACAGCGATCCTGACTCCAGACCCTGGTGGGACACTAGCTAAGGATGAAAAGCTCTCCAGAAGACCAACAACACAAAACTCCTTCCAACTGCTTTGGGTAATGGTTTGTTGATAGTGGGCTAGTATTGTTATTCGGGACTGTAACTGGTGTATGTTGTCAGATAAAGAGGAAAAGTGATTGTGTGGACATTACTGAATTTATCATTCACAGTGTCAGGGCACAAGAGGGTTCCAGCACAGGGAGAAGAGACATAAATCAAAGAGTAGAGAGCCTTGTAGTCATGAATATGAACTGAAAACCCCAGTATGAACTTATGGTTTTTATATTTAAAGACAACTTCCGGGACACCTGTGTGGCTCAGTGGTTGAGCGCCTGACTTTGGCTCAGGGTGTGAGCCCGGGGATGGAGTCCGGCATGGGGCTCCCTGCAGGGAACCTGCTTCTCCCTCTGCCTGTGTCTCTGCCTCTCTCTGTGTGTCTCTCATGAATAAATAACATCTTTAAAAGAATAAGAAAAATTAAAAAAAAAATAAAGACAACTTCCTAGCTGTGTCCACTGAGAACACTGAGCAACAAAGACTGACCCAGGAGCCCCCAGGAGCCCTGAGAACTCAGAGTGAGGCTTTGAAGGGCTGTTTTCCACAGGATGAGACTAATGGAAATCTGAACACTGGGTATTTATTAACTTTAGGGATAACTGATAATTTTTAAAACAGTGTGTTACTGATATTGGAGTTACGCTTTTCAAAGAATCCGTGTATGTTTTAGCTATCCATACTGAAGTGCAGGGTGAGGACAGGGTGGTGCTATGGATGATGCAGGGTTGGCTGACAGGGTTGGCTGTGAGCTGACAATATTGGACACACAGTGAGTCATGTGGGTTCACTACTTTTTCTACCATACACGTTTGAAATTCTGCATGGTGGGATGCGAAGAAAAAAGTACTAAGGAAATTCTGGCCTCGATCCTTTACCCCATCCAGGGTTGCTCTATTTACTTTTTACCTTGTGAATAGTAGCCGTTGGGAAAGGTGTAATAGGAGCAAGGAAAGGAGAGAGAAAGATGAATGGTGGGTGTCCTGTTTCCCCTAGAAATGTGTCCTGATCTTACCAATGGGGGTTAGTGATCTTGTGCAAAGACTGAAGTTTCTTCTTTGATAACAACTCTCACTATTGGATGCCACATACCTGGGACATCACTGAGTGTTCTCTCGCAGAACTGCATTTACTCCTCAGTTTACTCCTCACATCACCCCACCTACCACACGAGGACAGAGGTTCAGGAGGCTAACTGAGCAGCTCCCAGCACTGGTGGGTGAGAGAACTGGGACTGAAACCAGGTCTGCATGACATCCATCGACTGTGCTGGATGCTCCATCATCTGGTCTGCTCCATCGTCTCCATAGAAATCTAGTTACCTCACAGTACAAAACATCCAGCAATGAAAACAGCACATCAGGCTCTTTTTAGTGAGAATTTCTAAAAACTGAGCTCCAGAAGATGGGCAATTTGAGAGACGTGGGGAGCCCAGCTGTGTGGCAGAAGGAGTTTATGACAGGGTTTGCATGGGACTAGAGGGCCGATGCTGGGCCAAATGCAGAGGTGACCCAAAGTCCCTGCCCATGTGGGTCTGAGAGCCCTGTGGAGGACATGAAGTTGTCATGCACGCCTGAGCCACACAGGCAGCTGCCCAGGAAGCCAAGTGTGTGTGAATGAAGCTGAGTGTTCTGATCAAATGGAATATAGAGCAAAGTTCACATAAGCGTGTTTAATGACATGTTTCCTCACTACTGACTTACACAACTTGGCCTGAGTGCTTACCTCTTGGCATGAGTACCTACAATTAAAGCTACTTCTCATGCAGCCAAACGAAACATTTCTGGGAGAGGGGGGCATGGGGCAAGGCTGGAGGCTGTTCTGGAATCTCTGTGGGACTCAGAAGTGGTAACTGGTTAGTGTGTCCTGCTGGTCCCACCTCTGTCTGAAGCCTCATGTGATCTTCCCCTGCCCCTTCCACTAGGCGTGCTCAGTGACTCATGGGGACCCCCAAGGGAATCTCCTCAGTCTCTCCACTGCGCCAGGCTGCTGGCTCCAGGCACACGGGGTCCCTGTCCCTCACCCACCCACCCGGGCTCCTTGCTTGGCGACACTCTCACCAGACTACAGGTCACACCTGGAGGGCATGGACATACCTTACTCCTTTCATTGCCTCATAGGCCATCTAGGCACGTGGACATCATCCAGGGAGGAAGAAAGGGCAGAAAAGGAAGAATGAAAAAAGAGGGTGCACGGACACCCCAGACTGCAGCCATGATGGGGAAGGATACCACATGAGGTCCCACTGCAGAAAAGTGCAAGTGAGAAGTTGGCAGGAACTGTGCTTTCTACCTTTTCAGACCCAAATATGGAGATGCAGGAGCTTTCAAAGTCTTCTCCTAATCTAGCTGCTTCGAGGCTGGGGCTCTTTATTTCTGCCCCTAGAGTATAGTGCCTGTCCCACCACAAGATAAAATATCCTCAACTTAATCAGTGTGAAAGAAAGGTCAAAAAGACTGAAAAACCTAACTGGCCTACTGTTAACAATATGTAGTTATGGGGCAGCCTGTGTGGCTCAGCGGTTTAGCGCCGCCTTCAGCCCAGGACATGATCCTGGAGACCCGGGATCAAGCCCCACATCGGACTCCCTGCATGGATGGAGCCTGCTTCTCTCTCTGCCTGTGTCTCTGCCTCTCTCTTTCTCTCTGTGTGTCTCTCATGAATACATAAATAAAATCTTTTAAAAAAAAAGACCCCCAAAACTCCCAAAATATTATGTAGTTATGTGCAGCTTAGCACAACCACAGTTGCTTTATAAAAGCTACTGGGTGTCCTTGAGGAATGACACTGACAGTGACACAGCTGTAGTATGTGGAAACATCACTTATTTACACGACTCACTCCCAGGGCCACCCGTCTTCTCAGGGAAACTGAAGCGGACTGCGGACACTCCACACCCAGGGAGCCCCAGACACTCCTGGGGGAGCCGCCCTGCTGATGTTGGGATGCCTGACACCCACCTGGATGCTCTGAGGGCAGAGGCGGCCTTCCGACCCTTGTCCCTGGATCGTTAGAGGCCAAAGTGTACTGGGGCCTGGGGTTCTTTGAGCATTAAAGATTAAAGATGTGCATGTAAAGCAGAGTGAGGCTATTTAAAGCTCCTGGCCACATCCGCAAAAACATGGAGACACAGACCTGGCTCGATTTCCAGTTCCTCAGGGACGCAATGTCCCTAAAGGAACTGAAGCCTCCAGCACTGTCCTTCCCAGAATGGTGATTTGGGCATTTTCCATTCATACTTCTCAACCTGAAGTGAGCCGAGCCGCGTGAAGCCCCACCTGTCTCCCCAGAGACCCGGAGTCTCTGGCCATTGCAGAAGGCGCCCCGGCCCCTCCGGCCTGTGTACAGCCGCTCCTCCGTGCAGTGGTAAATCACTCCAAATTCAAGCTGCGGGGTGCAGGGGCAGGATGGAAAACAAACGTGCTTCACTTATTTGACACAGTAAATAACACAGTAATTCAAAGGGGAAGGATTCGAGGTGTTATGACCAATATGATGGAAACTCCTTTGCCAAAGGGAATTGAAAAAAATAGTGTCTGAGTTCAAAACTGGACATGAAAGCACATGTCTTTATGAAAATAACATACTTAAACATATATTAAAACTCATATAACTTTATTAAAAATTAACCTTACAAGGGCACCTGGGTGGCTCAGTGGTTGGTTGAGTGTCTGCCTTTGGCTCAGGGCGTGATCCCAGTTTAGGGATCGAATCCCACATCCAGCTCCCTGAATGGAGCCTGCTTCTCCCTCTGCCCGTGTTTCTTCCTCTCTCTGTGTGTCTCTCATGAATAAACAAATAAAATCTTTTTAAAAAATTAACCTCATAATCAAGCATTAGTAACTGAAAGTTGTTGAAAAGCTTAATTCTTCAGAAAAGCCTATGTTTTGGGGGATGGGGAAGGCTACTTGTGACTCATGCATCCCTACAAGAAACCCTCAAAGCTGCTGACAAGTGAAGAATGAAGAATGCATCTGTAAAGCTTATGGAATCAGAACTCAAGAAGAGCCAAGGAGAGGAGGTGATTCACCAAGGAGGGGTGCCTGGCACGGAGTGGGCAGACAGCAGCCTCCCAATTGGAAACAGTACAAGTAAAAAAAAAATTTTTAAAGGTGAGGATGGGAAAAAAACGCGGCCTTCTCTCATGTGTTTTTTCTTTCCTCTACCAACTCATCACTAGTCGGGGTTACTGAGAGCAACCTTGTGTGGTCTAGGGGCTAGCCATGTTTCCATCTCCCTGGAAAATGAAGAGAGACCCAGCCCAAGCCTCTTGGGAGAGTCTCAGCTGGCCTGGGGTGAGATTGACCACAGTAGAATGGACTCCTCAACAATGCAGGAAAAGGGTTTATTTCTGGGGAGGATCAGCCTTCCAGCAATGCTTAATTATCTTCCCTCCTTCCCACCACCCTGGCTTTAAGGGGATTCCCCTAGAACCAGGCAGGCCTCTAGACCTGTGCCCCTGGGGTGGTCGGGTGGCCTGGAGGTCTTTGCTAGCAGGAAGGAAGGGTGAGGAGAACCCTCCACATGGCCGGCCCACCTGCATGCAGTCACTCACACCAGGCCCACTAGCGCCGCAGGCCTTGCCATCAGAGACCTTGCCCGCCCACAGCATTTTTGTCCTCCCTGTCCAGTTATGGACATGTGGTCATGAGCCCTGTGAGCCGAGCGTCACCCCAGGAGCTTACAGCTCAACTCCTAATTGGTCTCAATGACACCTAACAGAGAAACAAGAGAGCATTTGACTCCTTAATGAGATTTTGATATTAAAATTTTTACCTATCTTCACCCTAAGTACTTTTACACAGGTGTGAACTTCCCTCGGCCTCCATGCTAGGGAGTGGATGTTAGTGTTGAGGAGGAAGATGAGGAAACAGTGCCCTAGGCAAGGTCTGCTTTTGGAAAATGCTGAACCCCCAGTCCTATTTAAATATAACTGTGGTGACCACACAGAAGTGAGGGCTTTCTGAAGCATTACTGCTTAAATTGATTAATGCCCTTTATGCAGGTCCCACGATGTTGCTTAGCTGCAAGGGCGATGGGAACCCTGAAGCAGCCGTGTTCTCATGCTAACAGCCAGGGAAAGATGAAGAAGAACTGGTGAAAGACTGGGATTCAAAACGTCCTCCAAAAATAGGACTTTCTTCTGTGTGTGACCAGGTCACATGCCCCAGGGGTTGGAGGGACACTAACGTGGACTATTTGCTCAGAACTTTCCCTCCCGCGTTTCTCCAGCAGCATCACAGAAAGAGTGTGGTGGAAACAAGGACCCATCACCATGGGGATGGGCTGGCCACAAAGCTCCAAACTCACAACCCCCAAAATCAGCTTTCATTTGTTTACTTTCTCATATCTGAAAAACAGATGCTTGGATTTACTACTCAGGATTAAGGCACTTGACAAAGAAAAATAGGAGTATAGGGATTGAACCCAATAACCCCCTTAGTATTGAAGGACAATACTAAGCCAGGCCCAGGGGGCTCAGGAGCCCTGGCTGGGGGGCCCATCCACTGCATACCTCTTGGTCTACAGCAAATCCAATGCTTACTGCCACAGTGGGAAATCTGCAAAGAAAAACAGAATGGTTCACACTCTAAAACAGAAATGGGTCTCACGTAAACTCTCAGGAGCCTGTGTGCAGTATGCTATGCAGTATTGTCACTGAAAGCACAGAAGGACCTTTCTACACTGTGGGTGGGTTTGTTTTTTTAAAAAAATTACTTCCCACAATTTCGCTAACTGCTTCCAAGACAAACAGGCTTAGCAGACTGTGGGGTGTGTGATAGCCTTGAAAGAAAGCAGTATTTTGAAAGTCATGCAAGACTGATGTGATCCAACGATCACCATCAGGTACCCAGTCAAGAGGGACTTGAGTCATCAGCTTTCTGATTTCCAGACGTAAAAGGACAGTAGAGACTCTGAAAAGGCCAGACCCATGTCTCTCCCTGGTGAGGAGAGGCCCTCAGGATGCGGCATCACAGCCTCCATGCAGAGGCCAATCTGTGTGACAATACCCCTCCTCACCCTGTCTTCTGAGTGAGCTCCCAGGCAGCCAACCACCAGAGCCATCAGAGGCAGGTTGTGACATTGGAGATGGCATGTGGTTTTTATTTTGTGATTTTGTTGCCGCTGCTGTACCCCTTTGAAATAATCTCTCTCTTATGTGAGGCTCAGAGCTTGGCAGCAAGCAGGGAGGAGAAGGTGGGTCCACTCACCCACAGGAAAGCTCTGAGAGTAGGCCTGCCCGGAGGTGAGCCTTGACCAAGGCTGTGGCAGCCAGCACGGTCACCGGTGGTCAGCTCGCTGAGCAAGCACACCACATGCCAGGCTCCACTTCATACCCAGGAAAGCTCTCTCCCACCTGCTTCAGCCCTGACGCTGTTGGACACAAGAACGAACGGGAACCATCTGAGCTGCCGTGGCCAAAGGCTTTTGATGTCCTTGGGCCACGAGAATTGCGACACTGCGGCCCTTTGAAGGTATTCTGGAATCTGAGCGCCAGCACCACAGCTGGTTTCCAAATGACACTCTTCTCCTAGCTGCCTGTCTGGTCCCCAGGTCCCATGTGCCTGGGGGCCACCAGGGTCCACAGGTGGATGTGTGGGCTCCAGCACGTTTCAGGGCTCAGCCTGCCCCGGCCCAGGGATGGCACACAGAGGTGACAAGCCAGACGGAAGGCAGCTTCACTCAGCACCACACACCTATGAGGGGAGACCTGAGGCTCCCCGGAATCGCTACCCAGGGTGGGGCAGTGGGCACGCTGGAGTTCAAAGGAGTCTGTTGATGCCGTTGCTGTCAGCAGATGGCACTCTTCCATTGCCTCAAAAGGCAATGTGTGGGCACCACAGACTAAACTCTCAAGACAGCCCCCACTGAGGAAAGGGCGGTGATTAACACGATGGATCAGGATTACCTTACACACTTACACATAAACACGCTGTTTGAGGCAAGACACTGAGGACAGCACTGGAAGCGAAGCCCCCCCCCCATTCCAGCTGTGCTCATGCTTTTTCACATTACTCTGGGAAACGGAGTATTTCCTAGCCACTTGCAGAAGGGGCTTACAAAATGTGGTCCTGCGCCCCTGGTCTGGCCTGCGTGCCTGTGAGAAATGCACGCCGTGGGCTGCCCAGCCTGGAGGGGGCTGGAGCCTGTGCCAACCAGCTCTCCAGGGGGCCTGACATGTGTTTGTGTCGGAGAAGCAACCATCTGTGGAAACGACATCACATTCGCTGCTCCCGTGTCCTTGCACAGCTCTGATGCCCGCCCCACTGGGCAGAGCTTCCCAAGCAGAGGTCACGTCCCTATCACCTCCCCGAGCTCTGCAGCTCGCCTCTCCTCTCCCCAAGGACATCTCTGACCTCCTGAAAACCTACTGCATTTGGCTGTTATTTGCTCAGTCAGATTAGGCCTGGCCCGCTGCCAGTGGGGGCTTCCTCATCCCACCTCGTGATTGCAGGAGGTCTGCTCTCATCCCCAAAGGCAGCCCTGGAGCGCCACCCCTCAGGTGCTGCTGTCTACACCCGGGCTCCTGAGGCTGCTACATGCTTGTTTCTCCAGGGGCTTTCTTAAGGGGTCCTTCTTCATTCAACGTTAACATTTTAAAGCTGGCAAACACAATAGTTTTAAACAAATGAGTATTTCCTATATGCTGTGAGAGCATCTCACCGACGCCGAAATACCTTTTTTAAAAAGATCAGTACAGGATCACCTGGGGGGCTCAGTCAGTGAAGCATTTGCCTTTGGCTTAGGTCATGATCTCAGGGTCCTGGGATTGAGCCCCACATCGGGCTCCCTGCTCAGTGGGAATTCTGCTTCTCCCTCTCTCTCTGCCCTTCCCCTTGGCTCATGCTCTCTCTCACACTCTCAAATAAAGAAAACCTTTAAAAAAATAAATGAACTAAAAATAAAAAAGATCAATACATGATTACCTTTTTAATGAGACCATCAACCTACTAGAGGTTTATATACTCCTCCCTCAAAAAATGCTGTTTGGAAGACAAGACAGTCTTAGAGAAAAGGACAGGTATGGGACGCCTGGGTAGCTCAGCAGTTGAGCACCTGCCTTCTGCCCAGGGCATGATCCTGGAGTCCTGGGATTGAGTCCTGCATCGGGCTCCCTGCATGGAGCCTGCTTCTCCCTCTGCCTGTGTCTGCCTCTCTCTCTGTGTCTCTCATGAATACATAAATTAAATCTTAAAAAAAAGAAGAGGATGGGTTAGCACCAGAATAGGGGTGACCCATGCTTATGCTCACCTGTGCACAAAGTTGCAGGTGCCATCAATGGGGTCGACGATCCAGGTGGGGCTGGGGGTGAGCACGCACTTGGCTCCAGCGGCTGCAGATTCTTCTGCAATGAACCTGTGGCAAGCAGGAGCTTAGCCTGAGAAAACTCACCAAGAACTCAACACAAAGTACTTCAAGCTGCCTCCAGTCCCATCAAAGACAAACCAGACACAGCAGAGATTTCATCATGGTTTCTGTAGGTCAAACACAGGCCGACTCTGTAAAAGCCCATCTATTTTTCGATCTGTCTGCTGGCCTACCTGCTCAGAAGGATTTAGAAAACATGAAGTGACACCTTGATGCAGGAGTTTTGGGAAAACATCAAGGCATGGGAGGGGGCCAGGCGAACAAATACAAGAATAAAGAACACTAAGAAAATAAAGAAACAGACCTTTTAAGGCAAAGCTAAACTCTGCTCTCACTCTAGTCTGGAAGAGAAAAGGTTGAAGACAAATGATAGAGGAAGGCTGGCCAGGGTGCAGGGCCCAGGGCTCCGGCAGCTTTAGCTTCCCGTTGGTAGTGCTGTGGCTGGGGTGGACTGCTTCACTGGACCTGAGGCACTCAATGTCACCTATAGCTGACACTTCCAGGTCTGTCTGCAGCCTGGCCTCCTCTGAACTGAAGACAAGGTGACAACTGTAACTGCCGACCATTCAGGCTCAAAGAGGAGCAGCCGTATCCCCTCAGAGGCCCTTTCCATCCTGGTGTCTGGCCTACAAGCCCCTCGGTAGGCCACATCTTCTTCTTCATGCTCTGGTACCCACACAGCCTGTAGGAACAGGGCCAGCCCAGCACTCAGGCTCATACTGCCCTGTACCAGCTACAGTGGACCCCATTCCCAGCCCCCTCCTTTATAATTAGTCCTCTGTAGACAAGCCCCTTTGGGACCACCCACACTTAGCAGGCTGTCTATTTCCTGTCAGGAACCTGAACAAGGAAAACACATCCCTATCCAAAGCTTACATGACAGTGCCTGGGCCATGACTCATGTAACAAACCCAGGTCCACTAAGAGGGGGGCCTCTGCCCCTGTACCACCTTGTCGCACCAGGCCCCAGACCACAGCAGGTGCTGAGCAAACACCTGCTTATGTGTGAACCCAAGGCCTTGTGGAGAGCCTTCCATTAGCTTCTCGATGCTATGTCCATGTCTATACTGGAGAAAAAGGAGACCTGAAGGCAGTATATTTTTATAAGAAGGATAAATGAGTGAAACACAAGAAACATTTTCTGTCCTCCTGCTGGTATCTGGTGTGTTGTCACTTGTGGCCATCAGGCAGCTGCTGAGCCCCCGACAAGGCCAGAGTGGGGCCCTCCTGCTGGGCCTCGAAATGCTCCCAGAACCACTTTCTCCAGAGGAACCGCCTATCCTAAGATGTGGCAACAATAAGCTTGCAGATGAGATGGATACTGTACTGCCAATAAAAAGACTGAGCTAGAAACCTCTGGAAGTGCTCCATCCAATGTGGTACCAGCTAGCTACATGGGGCTGTTTGAAATTAAATAATTGAAATTAAATGCAATTTCAAAAAGCTATGAAGTTCTTTAACTCCCACTGGCTACATCTCAAGTGTTGTCTTTGCAACACTGAGAGGGAAGAACCAGTGCCATGCGTTGTGACGTCCCTGTTCATCACTACAGCACTGTCACATGCCCCATAATTCATTTGGGACCACCTTTCCCATTCCACACATCAGGAAACTCATACCCTATGTGCACACCATCTACCCCCTCTGTCTGATAAAGGATCTGAAATCTGTCAGTGTGTATGATGAGTGGACATGTGTCATTTTCAGGTTATGTATTTCACCTCCACCCAGGTGCGGTCTCCTGGAGAAACCCATGCAGGAGAGCCAGAGCACCAGGGATGGGGAAGTAAGACACCTGAGAAATCCATATCTCAACAAATGGCTCCCGTGCAGAAAAAACTTGGGTGAGCACAGTCTGCAACCAAAAGCCTACAATCTAGAGATGCGTAGGATGCCAGTTCTAGCTTCTGTTTGCTTCTGGTCCCCTCCTCCCCTCCTCTGCTGGGAACTGCCTCCCTACCATCATTCCCCCTCCTCGGGGTTTGGGTCATTTGTATCCTGTGATCCAGGGTGGCAGGTCTAGATGGTAGACAGAGCGTGATGAAGGACATGAAGTCAGAGGAGCCAAGCTGGGCAGGATGCAGCCAGGCAGTGAAGCCTGCACTCCTGACTGCAGCAGGAAGGCAGGTGATGGGTACACAGAATCACTGATGATTATGCAAGGCATTAGCTCTGTCAGTTTTCTTGGCCAGAGACAAGGAATTGAATCTCCTTTAAATGTCTTCTTCTAGGGCAGCCCGGTGGCTCAGCGGTTTAGCGCCGCTGTCAGCTCAGGGCCTGATCCTGGAGACCTGGGATCGAGTCCCACATCTGGCTCCCTGCGTGGAGCCTGCTTCTTCCTCTGCCTGTGTCTCCACCTCCCTCTCTCTCTCTCTGTACCTCTCATGAATAAATTAATAAAATCTTTAAAAAAAATTTCTTCTATAGCTACATGATTTTCCTCCCATGCCATGACTTGTGATTACGTTTCTAAAGAAAAAGGGGTCATGGGATGCCTGGGTGGCTCAGGTCATGATCCTGGGGTCCTGGGATCAAGTCCCACATTGAGCTCCCTGCAGAGAGCCTGCTTCTCCCTCTGCTTGTACCTCTGCCTCTCTCTCTCTGTGTCTCTCATGAATAAATAAATTTTAAAAAAAGGATGAGAAAAAAAAGAAAAAAGATCACACCCTAAAAACACACATAGACAGGGATCAGGTGCCAAATCTTAAATTGGGCACAAGGTCGATAAAGCAGTGAGGTCAAGATAGAAATGGAAGTGACTCACATCCAAAGATAAATTCCCAGGAGCTGAGGAGGAATGTGGAGTTTTATTTCTTTTTGAACCTGATTTAAGTGGGAAGCTGGTACCTACTACAGTTGGGGGGAGCCCTTGCTGGGGTCTCCTGGCAAGGAAGAGGGGAGTCTTCACAGGACTGGCAGCTAACACAAGCGTCAGGTAGCACAGCCTGCAGTGCACCAACGGGGCTTCCTAGGACACACAGGGCAAGAAGGGCTGCTGGCTCACTAGCCAAACAGGTGGGACCGACATGGTCGACAGGGTCACCAGGTGGCCTGGGGAAGGCAGCACCCACAATGCTTCTGTTGACACAGCTTTTGTTCTGCACAGCATTTCCGATAAGCACTCAAAGAAATCACACAGAGCTCTGGACTTTCCCAGCAGTTGACTGATTATTCACACCCAAGAGTTCTCTTCTCTACTCAGCTGCCTGAGGCAACAGAGGGGAAGGAGTGTCTGTCATCTTGCTATTTGCTTTGCACCTGTGCGCGGCACTTTGGGGCAGAGCCCTGGACTGTGTTGACTCTTCTGAGGCACCAAAAATACCTCCCTGTTATGTGAGGAGGGATGTAGTTTATTCACTGAAACCTGACTGTTCTCGCTGCGGGGAGCCAGTACCTACAGGATGGGCGAGACCATTCTTCAGCTCTCTGCAGATGGACGTGCGAAATAACAGAGACCTTAATAAAAGCATTTGGACAGCTACATAAGACCCATAACATCAATAGAAAAAAAAAATCCACGTGCCTAAATTTAGGGAGCTCAAGGGCCCTTTCACAAGCCTATCTAACATACAAGAGGAAAAGCAGCCCCTGGGGCAAGGTTCAAAGCAGGGTAAGAGTTAGAATGATACTCTGTTGCATAATTTAACTACTCTTCTTTTCTTATAGTCCTAACAAACCCTTCTTATAATTCTGATGGCCAAGTGCATGGAGGCCTTTTTCTCTGGCTGGTTTGTTTACTCTGTGACAAGGTCAAGGTCACCCTGCAGTTCACTAGGGAGCCAGTTAACGCTCGTGGGCCTGGCCAGCATCGCAGCAGGCTCCGCTGTCTGATGACATGAGTGCCCAGCACAAAACTCAGTGGGAAAGGGGTGGAAAACAAGTGTATAGCCAGTGGTGGCTAGGAACGTATTTTTTCCAAGTCCAGGGGACAGAGGGCATGCTGCAAGGTATAGGAGTCACCACAATAGACGAGGCCGTGCCTGCAAAGGGGAGCCCAGGCTGGGACAGAGGAGGCAGCTAGGTGTCCTGGGCAGTTAGTTCCTCCCTTTGCCTCTGCTAACCCAGACAAAAGGGACATGGACAACAATATGGTTTGGTGATACTACTGAACATTCCCAAAGTTGCAGAACTTGGATCTGAGTCAAAATCATCAACTAGAAACAGGTTCAGGCACTCCACAAAGGCAGGCCTGGATGGAGACCGGGCTAATGTGGTCAATGCCAATACTGGGCTTTAACTGTCAACCTGGACCTGCTGGTTTGCTTTCTGTCTTTACCACCACAGGATGACCTTGGCTGGGTGCCTCAGTCCTAGAGGAGGAGGCTGAGATCCCAGGAACCAGGGTGAATTGCCAAAGCTGTGGGCAGTAGCAAATGGAAATCTTACAGTTCCTTGGTTTAGCATACTCCTGTCTCCCAGATTGGGGACCCAGACTTTGGATTTCACAAATGAGTACAATAAAATAATAAAACAGGGAGCAGGGACACCTGGGTGGCTCAGTGGTTGAGTGCCTGCCTTCGGCCCAGGGTGTGATCCTGGAGTCCAGGGATCAAGTCCCACATCAGGGTCCCTGCAAGGAGCTGCTCTCCCTGCCTGTGTCTCTGCCTCTCTCTCTGTGTCTCTCATGAATGAATAAATAAATAAAATATTTATAAATAAACAAACAAACAAATAACAGGGAGCCTACATCAGGTTATTTCTTATTTTATTCAAAATAAAACAGTCGTAATCGTTAATATTATTTCATAAATGACTAAAAATGGGGACTGGCATAAGCTCAGAATAACACAGAGTCCTTCCTAAAAAAAGGATGATAGGCAAATTTATGCTAATTCATTGTTTAAGGGATATATTTAAATACTTTGAATACAGAAAGCTTTCAGTATGCTATTTTACAATGTGTATGCAGTTTTCTCATTGCAAATTCGTCAATTTGTCTATGATTCAAATCATAATTAAATCCTCCCAAATTCTTTTGACTCCTAGTCATTGGCAAAAAAAAAAAAAAACAACACACCACACTTGGCATAGATATGTTGAAAAATTATTTTATCTATTTGAGTTTTCTAGGCAAACTGAACAGAGCAGAAGAAGGACTTCCAGCCTTTCTCTGGGTCCTGGTGTTGCCTTCAGAGCTGAGAAGCAAAGAGCCAGGGGTGACCATGGGGCAGCCGCATCTCATCCCTCACAGCCCGACTGGTACTTTGGGAAGTACCACTCTAAATCACAGATACCTGGTCAGGTGTGTGTATCTGACTCTCCCAGGGCTCTTTCAGAGATGGAGGCCTGGCATTAGCCGGCTACAGAAGCCCAGGTGGGCCTGGCACACACCGTGGGTGAGGGCCAGTGCTCTGGGTCAATGGTTTTCCAAAGGAGCTTCAAAGTTTGGTGATCCTCTGGGGACCCCAGGTTGCAGGGTGGAGCGGGGTTGCTGGGGGAGGTGGTACGGTCACTCATAGAACATATTTGTCCCGGGACATGCAGCAATGAATATTTAAATACACCTTGTCAAATGGAATCCATGTCCCATATTGACACAAGAGTGGACCCAAACCACTGCTGCCAACACACGCAATATGTATGTCGTTTCAGAATTTGGTTTGTCCAGAGTGATCTAAATGAAACCTGCCGGGAGCCCGATGACTACGTCTAGTCTTGCGGCGACCTCCAGGGCTTTACTAGGACTCCACAGAGCTGAGCCAGTCCTTGCCTCCGTCACAGCCACCTGGGCCAGTACCACAGAAACCTCAAGTACCAAAATAGCTCCTCAACTAGAAACAGTTCCTTGGTTACTGCGGTCTTTCCCTCTCAAAGAATAAAAGCAATCTATAGAATTCATTTGACATTCCCATTTAACTTCACGTTTCAAAAAGTTAAAAAATCATAAACATTTCCGAGCTTCTAAAATATTACAACAGATGTCAGGAATCCTGACTTCACACTGAATAAGGAAATAGGAAATAACAGACGCTCACACACAAAGGTTGTGGACAAAACAAAACAAACACGACCCATTGGCAGAGAGAATTTTGAAGGGGGAGCTGGTGACCCTGAGATGACCTAACCAGTTAGGAGGAAACAACAGGGAAGAAAGGAGGTATGTTTGAACACTGGCTTGACCCTTCTTTCATTTAATCATTCACAGGGAAAAACTTTACTGTGTCCACCCTGTGTGAACAACTGTGTCAGATGGATGCTGAGGGAGACTGCCTTCCACATCTCTGCTCTGTAAGCCCATCAGCGATACATACCTAGAAATCCAAGAGTCCCTATCCAGCCTCCTCCGTGAGGACAGGGAGCCCTCCCATCCAGGCAGTGGTTTTCCAACTCTCTTCTGTAGAGCTCCAGGGATGAGGGAGGGCCTGAGAAGCCCCCATCCCCACCTGAGAGCTCAAGGGAAGTCTTCCGCTGAGGTCCAGGGTTCCCTTGGAACTAGATGCAAAATACTGCATACATATTTCAGTTTTTCTGAGGAAAACATTAATGGTTTGCGTTGGAGTCTCCACACGGTGACCCCAAAAGGGTTAAGCACTTCTGCTCTGGAGAAGGTGGAGTCCTCATGAGGACCTGCTATAGGGTTGGAGAGCAGCCTTCCCTATGGCAGATGCCAGCCTGCCGGGAAGAACGCCTCACGGAGCACCAGCGGGGACGCACCAACAGGTGGTAGACCTGGGGCCACCAGGCTGACTCAGACAGGGAACAGAATAGAACTGGCTCCAAGTCCCTCCAGAAATAAGCCAAGTGGCCTAGCAGAGGGGACACTTGCGTAACACTCTAAAACACTTCCCCTGAGCATGTTACAGAACTGGAGGCTTCTCGGTATTTATAAGGTAACATATTGACGTGAGTGTTGTCAAGATGACAACATTGGATGAAACATTGTGGATGGGTGGATGAAAACATTGTGTTTACCATGGCAATCAACATAGGGGAGGCAGACTGTGAGGCCCCCTGTTTCACGTCTGCCCCCTGCAACCAGTGGCGTGGCACCCTGAGTTAGCCGCAGGCAGCATGTTACTGAGTCCCCTCCCGAGGGACACACCTACCTGTGTGAAGGAAACCTCTTCTGCAGCTCGGAAATAATTAAACCCTCCACGAGGTGATCTGTTTCTGTCACGAGGTCAGCAGCTGATGTTTTTGTTGAGACGCGTTTTTCCTCAGAAAGGGCTTTTCTGATGATCTGAAATAAAAGTACAGAAGAGTACAGGAGGCAGTTACCTGACGAGCACCCGGGTCCCCCAACACATGTGCTCTCACCTCCTGCACCCAAGCTCTGAACTGAAGTAGGCGGTGGGTGTGGATCTGAGGGCCATGGGCTGCTTCCATCACGGCGGCCGCCGGGGCCTTACATCACACCCCAGAACTTCTCTCGGGGCATCTAGCGAGCCTAACTATCCACTATTCTTTCACCAGAAAGAAGGGCTCACTTGTCCTACCTGTGGAGCAATTTTTCTCTGAAGGAAAAGAAAAACAGTGGTTCTAAAGAGCATGAAGCTCCACTCAATGAAAGATGATGTCGCTGACAAACCTTTGCCCTCAGAGTCCCAAGAATTTGATTTCATTATAAAAACATTATCTTGGGGGCAGCCCCGGTGGCGCAGCGGTTTAGCGCCGCCTGCAGCCTGGGGTGTGATCCTGGAGACCCGGGATCGAGTCCCACATCGGGTTCCCTGCCTGGAGCCTGCTTCTCCCTCTGCCTGTGTCTCTGCCTCTCTCTTCACTCTCTCTGAATGAATAAATAAATAAATCTTTAAAAAAAAAAAAAAAAAAAACATTATCTTGGGCAGCCTGGGTGGCTCAGTGGCTTAGCACTGTCTTCAGCCCAGTGTGTGATCCTGGGGACCTGGGATCGAGTCCCACGTCAGGCTCCTGCATGGAGCCTGCTTCTCCTCCCTCTTCTTGTGTCTCTGCCTCTGTGTGTGTGTGTGTCTCTCATGAATAAATTAAAATCTTTAAAAAATAAAAATAATAATAAAAAAGTATCTTGCATCATGTGGAGTGGACCATGCTCTTGCATCCAGATTATAAACGTTCAAATGGGGAGCCATTGGAGAGAGTAAGGGGTACTCCACCAAGAGAAAGGCACTCTCCCTGCTGCTTCAGTCAGGGTACCACTGAGCGCCAAAGCGGATGCACACATGGGCTGGCGCAGGTGCCAGGGCCTCCCTGACCCCAGGTCTGGGCTCACAGGTAGACTATGGGTGTGCAAGCCCCAGCACTCCTGGGCCAGACCTGCTGCGGGCAAGTATAGAGGCACGGGGAAGAGGGGGCCTCCCCAGGGACCCCGGGAAGGCCCAGATGGGAGGGCAGCTGGAGTGGTTAATCAGTCACAGGGCACCCTGAGAAGGACCAGGTCTACTCTATGTAATAAAAATTACGCCTTCTCCAGCCCAGGCCTTGTCACGACCCAGTGTTTCCCTCAGCACGATGACAAAGTCAGGACACCTAAAAACGACTTCAGACCTTGCCTTCCAAACTGGCTGCTACCCCAAGACCCCACCTTTCCTTCCAGAGCACCATCACTCACTCAGCAACCTAGACTCCACGTTAGGTAATGTCTCCTGAGTGCCTGTTTCACGTCCCACTTGTCGAAGAGGATGATGGCAGGAGGAGACGACCCCCTAGTCTGTAGAGACGAGGGCTGCCCATGGAATTTAAAGACTGTGCAAGAGACCCCGAGACATGGAGCGATCCCCGTTTTTATGCGGCTCACATTATGGCCCCCTCCTAATGTCAGCCTCCAGAAGTGCTAGGCCTAGACAGGGGCCTCCTGTTGTTCATCTTGATGGCAAACAGACACATACGACAGAAAATCTAAAGGGTAATTTTGTAAATAATGCAAAAGACAAAGCATATAGCACTCCTGCAAAATCTGTGAATATTTCTGTGCCAGTCCCCACACTGCCACTGTGGCCTTCCTGTCCCCCCCCCTTTTTTTAACAATTTCATTTATTAATTCATGAGACACACACACACACAGAGGCAGACACACAGGCAGAGAAAGAAGCAGGCTCCACGCAGGGAGCCCAATGTGTGGGACTTGATCCCAGGACCCCGGGATCACCCTCTGGGCCGAAGGCAGCACCAAACCACTGAGCCGCCCCGGGATCCCCTTCCTGTCCCTTCTATTCGCAACATCCTGCTTAGTACTGTCAGGCTAATCTCCTTAAAACATCAATTTGCATACAGTAAGTTCCCACCAAAGGAATCTCCACAAGTTCCTTGCTTATAAATTTGAAACTCTTCAAATCTAACCCCTGTATCATGGCCTTGTCCTCCAAGGATCCCTAAATCTTGGGTTAGTCCAGACCTTGGTTCCACAGGTCATGTGGCAGTGAGCTCGTATCTTGTATGACAATTCAGTGTGGCATGTCGGGGTGTCTGTGGTGTGTATGTTTATATGTGCACATTTGTGATATATGTGTGGTTTGTACGTGTGTATGTGATGTGCGTGGTTTGTATATGTGTATATGTGTGATACCTGTGCGACATGTGTGTAGGGAGGTGTGAAGGGAGTGTGTAAGGTTGTGTGTGGGGTATGTATGCATATAGTTCTAGGGAAGGAGAGAGGAAGACCAGAGGACATGCCACCAGTCTCTCAAAGTTCACTGTGCATGAGTCATCAGAGATCTTGCTGAAGTGAAAACTGGTTAAGAAGGTGTGGGGTTTGAGGTCTGACATCTGCATTTCTGACAAGTTCTGTGGTGACACCGGTCCTGTGGGCCACACAGGAGTTGCTGGGCTGACAGCAGGTTCTCAAACCCCAGAATGAGGACAGGTCCTCAGGAGCTGGGGTGTCCTGGGACCTCTGCCCTGAGAGGACACGGGTTTCCTCTTGCCCTTGCCCCTCTCCACACGTATAGTATGCAGAGTTCAATGTTACAATTCCAACCACGCGCCCTGTAGTCTCTGTGGTGAAGCAACAGTGATCTTTAAACATACGTCAGCTCCTAACACTTTAATGCTTAGAGCTGCCCAACGACCTCCATGGCTTTTAGGAAAAAGCCCCAGACCTACAAATCCCACAGGCCACCCCCATGTTCACTATCCTTCGGCCACTCTGGTTTTCTGGCTAATGCTAACTAAATTTCTTTTTGTTCCAGGGACTTCATATTTTCTAGTCTATCCAAAATTTCATGCCATCTGAAATCATCTTGTTTGTCCCTCTGTTGGTAGTACGTCTTCCCAGGGAGCAGGAGCTGCTCACTTTGGTTCCCTATCACATACTCCTTGCCTCTAGAATCGTACCTGGCATAGGGCAGGTGCACAAAATTTTTCTGAATTGTGAAGAAAGTACACTTCAGCCTGCTTGAATAGACTGCACATTTTTCCCAACTGGACCACTAGTTTGTATGAACACGGACCACCTCAGTCTCTGTTTTGTCTGAGGCTTTTTGGTTACCCTGTGAGAGTTAACATGTGTTTGGCATCTCCTCCTCCAGCCTCCATCCACTAGCCCCACCTCCTGGAGCCAGCCCAAATCTGCGTTAGGGCACTCCTGTCCACTCACTGCACAGCAGCCAGAAGGGCTTGCTAAACCCCTGCCCTTTATCATGGATCTCCCCAGCATAAAGCACTTAGCGGCTCCCTAGCATTCTGAGGATACAAAACTCCCAATGGAAAAAAAAAAAAACAAAAAACAAAAACCTCCCAATGGTGGTATAACCACAGCTTCCTGAGACTTGACCTCCTAGCAGAGACTATTTGATCCCAAATAGCCAGTATCCTCTTCTTCCTTTCAGGAACAGAAGCCCCAGGCTGAGCAAGGTCAACGGTCCACATCTGTCTGCCTCTTGTGCAGGTAGGCCCGGCCCCGGGTTCTGCCCAGGAGGATGTGAACAGAAGGGATATGTGCAACTTCTGAGTCACATCCTTAAAAGGCCACTATTTGCACACTACTCCCTCCTGTCCTTCCCCCCTTGCCACCAGCTGATGTTGTGTGGTGAGAGGTCAGCTTTGGTCACATGGGAAGAGAGCAACTCCTTAAGACAACAAGTGACAGGGAACCTGGCAGGGACCTGACAGTCACCTGAGTGACTTGGAGAAGCAGAGCCCCATTTCCAGGCTTCTAACTGGGCTGCTGTGGGGAAGAGAAAGGAATCAGCCTTGCTTCTGTCACCAGTCTGTGAAGGAAGCCAAAGCACCAACTTACCACACAGGTCTCACCTAAGCTCTGCGTTCTCCTATCCTGCCCCTCCTCACTCCATGACTGCTATGCCCCAGCCCAAGGAATCACTCACCCTCAAGCCTGCCCCCACAGAACCACCAGCTTCCTCCTTGCCCGTGTGTTCTCTGACTCAGCTCAGATATCACCTTCTCTATGACAAGCCTCCGACTCCTGCAGGCAGAGCAGGGCATTCGCCCTCCAAGTGTGTAAACCACACAGCTGGCCTCCTGAGACTCCGCAGCCGTCCACACGGGTGAAGGAGCCCCACCTGGCCCCTGTATCCACCTCCCCCAAGTAGATTTTGCAGCCTAGGGAGGGGCTAGGTCTTGGGGAACATCTGAATGACGATTTCTCAGCTGCTACACACTGAGCTCACAGGTAACGAAAGCTGAAGACTTCAGCAAGTGCGCTCGTGAAGCCGTATCTAACGGCCTTGGTGTTTACGCGTTTGGTCTTCCCCATCCTGAAGACACCCGCCTCTGTTGTGTGGAGGAGACACGTGCTCAGGGGCCTGTGTAGGCAGTGTGGGCAGTGTCCGATGTCATCTGGGCACGGCGGACCCAGGCCCCTCGCTACAAATCACATCGGGGAAGGGGAGATTTATGCATTTGGGAGGAGAGTCTCTAATCATGTTGTTTTTTTTTTTTAATATTTTATTTACTTATTCATGAGAGACATAGAGAGAGGCAGAGACACAGGCAGAGGGAGAAGCAGGCTCCATGCAGGGAGCCCGACATGGGACTCGATCCTGGGTCTCCAGGATCAGGTCTATTAATGTTTATTACTCTGTGCTCTGATTATTTCAATGTGGGCACGTGTCACAGAGCTTCCATACGTCCATGTCCCCTCACAGCACAGCAGGCCACACCGCCTACCTTGCTCCCCGGCAACTTGCAGGTGCTGCGACCAGCCCTGTCACACCTGCTGTTGCTCCTTCAGGGCCTGGATCCCACCCACTGGGACACCTTAATTCCTCCCTCTCATCCAGTTACACACCCAAGGATGTAGATTCC